ATAAGTGAAAGAATATGATTTTTATGGAAACTGCATTTTTCCTCCAAATTAAAATACTTAAATTTCTCTCCTTACTGAGAAACTTAAATAATAGAAAGTTAAATTCCCTAAAATCCAAGAGAAAAAGTAGATGCAAGATAAAAAAGAAATAAAGATTAATGCTATGGTGCAAGTAGACCGTCCCAGCCTTTTAATACACGTACAAACCTACCTTTACCTTGAACATGGTCTAGTGCAATACCATTCTGTAACCAACCTCCTTGTTTTATTCCTCAATATGTCATGGCTCTATACAGATGTGAATACATTCTGATCTACTTTATCTTTCCAAGGGCTGCATTGTAGTCCTCTCATGGATGTAGTTTAATTAACTAATCCTCTGAAAGACTTTTGGGCTATTGTTAGTTACTACAAAGAATTCTGGTAACTACTTTTGACCATAAGTCTTGGCACACTTGTGCAATAATTTCTAAAGGATAAATTATCAGATGTGAACTTGCTAGTTAGAGACTAGGTACCTTTTCAATTTTAATAAATTTGTCAAAATGACATGTATTTCTTTACTGACTCCCTGGTTTAAATGTGTGAAACTGTCTGCCTCTCAAATTAGTATTAATTCTGGGCAGTACCAATCTTTGCTAAAATGATAGAGAGAATGAACTTATATTATTTTAAATCACATTTGTTTAGTTATTAGTGATTTAGGGTCTATGTCATATGCTCACTGGCCATATGTATTTTTTTTTGTAAACTCAATATATTATGAGGATATATTTAAGGTTTAATTATTGAATTAGAACTTTTCTTACATTAAGGGAATACATTATTGGGCTGGGGATGTCACTCAAACGGTAATGCACTTGCCTGTCCTGCACGGGATGCTGAGTTTGATCCTCAGAACCACAAAAAAATAAAATAAAGATGTTGTGTCCACCGAAAACTGAAAAGTAAATATTTAAAAATTCTCTCTCTCTCTTTATAAAAAAGAATATATTATCACATATTTTTCATGGAATTAAATATTTTTAATAACAGCAGAAAATATCAAACAGGTTTACTTATATAAACTCTGTTTTTGTTGCTGTGACCAAAAGACCTGACAGGAACAATTTTAGAGAAGGAGGAGTTTATTTGTTGCTCATGGTGTCAGGCATCTCAGTCCATGGATGCTGACTCGATTGCTCATTGCTCAGAACCTGAGATAAGGCAGAAGGGCATGCAGGAGGAAATGACTCCATACATAGGCAACAGGAAGCAGAGGGAGAGTTACACTGAACGAGGAAAGATACATGCCCTAACGTCACACCCCCAGGGATCCACCTCCTCCAGTCACACCTGCCTTCCTACAGTTACCACCCAGTTAATCCCAATCAGGATTAATACACCGATTAGGTTAAAACTCTCATAACCCAACCATTTTACCTCTAAACTTTTTTGCATTGTCCCACACATGAGCTTTTGGGCTAATATCTAACATGAGTTAATATTTAAACTCTGATCTCTCTCCTCACCCTCCCTCCCCCCAAAAAGGAAAACTACCACAAAACTTTTAGTTATTGTATTAGTTCCCCAGACATGCTGTAACAAAGAATCACCAAGTGGATGTCTTAAAAAATAAGACATCTTTCACAGTTCTGGAAGCTATAAGTCTAAAATCAAAACTTCTTTGGAACTTTTTAAAAAATATTTTTATTAGTTATTGATGGACCTTTACTTATTTATTTGTTTATATATGGTGCTGAGAATCAAACCAATGCCTCACATGTGCTAGGCAAGCGCTCTAACCCTGAGCCTCAACCCCAGCCCTTTCTTTGGAGACTTTTGAGGGAAGATCCTTCCTTGCCTCCTCCAGTTACTAGTGCCTCCAGGTGTTCTTTGGCTGGAAAATGCATCAGTGCAATCTCTACCTTCACCACGTGGTGCTTATCTGTATGTCACTTCTCTGGTTATAAGGATACCAGTCACATTGGATTAGGGCCCACACTAAAGATGTCAACTTAACTATTTCCAGGACCTATTTCCAGGTAAGAATACATTCACAGATATTGGACTTCAATGTATCTTTCTGAGGGGCACAGGTAACCCTATAACCAACACCTACCTATTACAAAGTGTCTGCTATCACCTGCACTTATAAACATGGAAGGACAGGACTGGGTCAGTCTTGTTCCATATTCTAATTCCCAGTACTTTGTACAGTGTCTAGAAGATAGTGGGCAATCAATTATGGTTTCTTAAAAGAAAGAATTTTAGTTTCAGGAATATCTGGTCTTTTTGATATGAAAAGATATAGAATATATCGAATTCTCTTTTATTTAAATTAACATTTGTAGGGGCTAGGGTTGTGGCTCAGTGGTAGAGCGCTTGCCTGGCGTGTGTGAGGCACTGGGTTTAATCCTTAGCACTACATAAAAATAATAATAAAAAAGGCATTATGTCCATCTACAACTAAAAAATACTTTAAAAAATAAATCAATATTGTAATTACACTATTTGCAAGTGAGGTTACCTAGACTGTACAGAAGAGATGGTCTCAGCTTTCTGAGTGGGCACTTTAGCCAAGATATGTGTTTATGGTTTCCCTGGCACCTGTCCTAAAATGAGTCTTTGAGAAAATGCAGATAAGCCTTCTCTAAAATCAAATGTATTTATCAGAATTATTGAGCTGGATGAAACTGAAAATAAGCCAACAGAACCCTTAAGAAATCCCAACTTTTTTATTTTCTTCATAGTGTTAAATGTAATTGCCAATTTATTACATAATCAGGGAAAGCAGAGCCCAGCATACCAAAGATAAGAAATGGCTACAGAAACTAAGTTTTTTGAACTTATTTAACAAACTAATTAATTTCCATTAATAGCAAACACTTCCAAACTATTGTACAAAATTTCCGCATTTAAACTTTTCTAAAATATATATATATTATTTAAGCTGGGCACAGTGGCACACACCTATAATCCCAGAGGCTCAGGAGGCTGAGACAGGAGGAGTGTAAGTTTGAGGCCAGACTCAGCAATTTAGCAAGGCCCTAAGCAACTAAGTGAGACCCTGTCTCAAAATAAAAAATTGAAAAGGCTGAAAATGTATCTCAGTGGCAAAATGTCCCTGGGTTAAATTCCCAGTACCAAAACAAAAAAAAATTGCTTAAAAAATAGTTATATACATATAATTACTATAGTTAATTTTTTTGGAAGTCAAGAGTATTCTCTAGTTATCTATAATGTCTTCCTCCTACTTTCTCCAAAGGTAAGAGTAGTCAATGCAGTCCTATGGGCTGTGTCTAAAACATCTACTTTGCTTTTCTTTATTTTCTGTGACCATAGTTCTATTACAAGAGCAATGTTTTAGGTCCTAGTGTACATCAAGAAAGATGAGGTATTTCAATTCCAACAGAAGCAATATTCTGATCTGGGCATTTTTTCTGTACTCATGCAGACATGGCCTAGGTGTGCAAAACTGGGCCATTATTCAGATACACCCCAAAGGCATTATTCAGTTGTGTGTGACCTAGATGCCCAGTTCCTCACACTCAGAAGGGCACTTGGTTTGATGTGCTGCTGTTGCCATCTCCAGTTTCTTAATCATTTTTAAACAATGGGCCCCATGTTTTCATTTACACTGGGCTTTGCAAATGACCTTGCCAATCTTAGACACACACACACAAAAGTTGCTTTGGCCTGAATTCATTTTACTTGTGATCTGGCTTTTAATTTGGCACTGAACAGAGAGTTGTGGATAGTGCCCCAGTAGCAGGATGACTCCAGTTCTAGAAACTTTTCAAAGGTGTAGAAATTCTTAGTCATGCAATTCCCTGGAAACAGTAAAGGAAGGAAACATACAAAGATGATTTTTGTTTATCTGCAAGCTGGTAGAGTTGAATTAAGCTCTCATTGGAATATGAAAGAATAAAGCTCAATGTATATACAGGTGCGCCATGCACGCACATACCTGTATATCAGCTTCATGAAATAATTGGTTCATTTGAAGAGCAAGTATGTATGCATATGTGCCAATAGGCTAAATATAAATCCATTCCTCTCTCCTTTATCATCAAGGTGATTATTTCAGCAATTGAAATGAAAAGCAGCATTTGTACAAGGCCTGAACATGGCTGTTCTTTAGAAACACAGTCAAAGCTGCCTGTTTTAAATCAGGAAGAACCTTTTTTCTGGTTCTTCTCCAAAAGGATGGTGGGGGATTGTGGTCTAGAGATGCCATGAGATGTTTAGCTTCCATTTATGAAGAGAAATTAAATTCAGTACAGCACATGGTTCTCTGTACAGGGGGTTAGAGTGTGATTTTGAAAGGATGAGTTGTGCTGGGCGTGGTAGTGCATACCTGTAGGCCCAGAGACTGCAGAGGCTGAGGCAGGAGATTCCAGGCCAGTGTTGGCAACTTAGTGAGACCTCGTCTCAAAATTTAAAAAAAAAAAAAAATTTTTTTTAAATGGGACTGATTGTAGCTCAGTAGTAGAGTGTTCCTGGGTTCAATCCTCAGTAACCCTTACTACACACACATGCAAGTATACACAAAGGATGATTTGACAAAGAAGAAGAGTTCTTTGTAGATACCTAGGAGCAAGGAGAAAGCTCAGTGGACAATGAGCTACCCATATCCCCAAAGGTCATGCAGGCCTTCTTACTCTGGCTGAGGATTAGATTCACCTTGGAGTACTTAGAAAAATACTGATGTCTGGGTCTCATCTAATGCTAATTAGATTTTAACCTGAGAGTGGGACACAGGCAAGAGTTTGTTTTGTTTTGTTTTTGGTACTTGGAACTGAACCCAGGGCATTTAATCATGGAGTCACATCTCCAACTCTTTAATTTTTTATTTTGAGACAGGGTCTTGCTAAGTTGCTTAGGACCTTGCTAAGTTGCCAAGGCTGACTTTGAACTTGTGATCCTCCTGCCTCAGCCTCCCATAGGGAGCCTCCCTGGGATTACAGGTTCGTACCACTGTGCCCAGGGAAGACAAGGGTATTTTTAAAAAGTGTCCCTGGTGGTTCTTATTTGCAGCCAGAGTTGAGCATCCCTTGGCTTTTTAATACACAAAAGAGAGGTTTTTTTTTTTTTTAATGGGCTACATCAAAGTCCATTGGGTATCTATTTTGAAAATTAAAAAAATTAGAAATATATTTATATCTGATTATACTTAAATGTAGACACCATCAACATAATTATTTTTATGTAATTTATTAACTACAGGTAATTAAAGATATTATATAAATAATATAATATTTAATGATCTCTCTCTGAGGTTAATCAAAAAACTTAAGAGATGAAACTGGCAAGAAACTTAAGAGATGAAATTTTTTTTAAGGAAGATATTTTAGTTGTTTTCAGTAAATACAGGATGTACCAAAGTCTAAAAGTCTATGAAACCAAGAAATGGGTAAGACAAGTAGTGTTCTTTCAAACTCCTTAAATAACAAATATCTTCTTCTATTTAAAAATTAAAAAATATATATATTAAGACCAAAAATTTAAATTAAAGCATGTGGAAACTATCATATTAATAAAATCATATTTTCTAGAATTCCTCCCTTAATAACATACTTTTAAAAAAATCCACTAAACATCTTCATAAACTAGTACTTATAATTCTAGTAATCCTAGAATACAAATCTTTTTTCAGCCAAGTTTTGAGGTCTAAGGTAAAGATGTCCTTGATGTTCTCACAGGTTCACAAAGGGTTGCAGAAAGGTCTCACCTGAAGAAGAAGGGAGTCAGGGAGGAAGGGAGAGAGGGAATGAGCAGGTGCAGGCCAGCAGAGCCCTATTGGTGACTTCCGGTTTCTGTGCTGGAGGCCACACTAATTGTATTGGATAATAAAAGGTCTCATCTCTGTTTTGGATATCCATTACCCTGGAGGCAGGCTGGCAAAGTTAAGGGTTTCCCCTCTGTGCATCTCAGCTGCACAGTGTTAAAGAATCTGATTGCAAAAGATACTGAAAAGACTAACATGCTTTCCTTGCTTTTAGCACACCACTGACATCTGCCAACACCAAGGGGAGGTTTGGAAGCATCATTTGAGGAATGAGACAAAGGTTACAACAGTTGCATCTTTTTTCCTGGAGAGCTTAAAGCACAGGAGGAGAACCAAAATTGAGAGTAAAACAGATGTCATCAACTATTCTAAAGAATTTCCAGAAGCACTCAATAAGATAGTCAAAATATCAGGCCCCCGTAAGGACATCATCAGTCTGTCTCAACTCGAAATGTCCTCCAGCATCACTGAGACGAAAGAGAAGAAACAAACCTGCAAAGAAGCCCAGCGCTGAATATAACTTCAGCAGTCGGTGCTGCCCATCGTTTCTTTTCTCCAGTGAGGAGTTCAGCTAGGAAAGGAGCTCTGTTAAGTGCCAGCTCTTACCATGTCCTGTTGCATTTTAAATACAAGCTTGATGACTCTGATGTGCCGATTTAAAAGCTTTAGAACACAGAGTTGTTTTTTACTCCAGCCCAAAGTATTAGGCTGAGTGTTTCTCTCCTTGCTTGATGCCAAGAACAAGGTGCAGGAACCAATTAAACTGCACGGTCCATCCTTTGTCTCTGCAAACTTCAATCTGATCAAGGAAGTACTTTTTAGCATCCTCCTCGTTTTTCCCCACTGTCAGGGCATCCCGGATGTACTCGATATCTTCTTTGCTGGTTAACTGGGGCATTCCTGTCATCAACATCATGGAGAACAGGATGATCAGCAGGTTTGTGTGATGGCGAAGGGCTAGGTAGGCCTTGACACAGACATCCTGGATAAAGGAGAAGAAACTGCTGTTACAGGTGTTAGAGTAACTGTAGGCTAAAGACCACTGGGCTGTACTGGCATTTATGTAGCATCATCATGAGAAGAAACCATCATACACAAGGCAGCTCTCTGCCCCAGAAGGAAAACATGACGAGAACATCGGCTATTTTTATGATTTCTTCAACACTGCAGTGTGGACGCATAGAGGCAGGGTGTGCTCAAGAAAAGCTAATTGATTCAGTTATTTGTTGTTTGTTATTCTATCTTTTAAATTCAATTTCCTTCCTAAGAAATTGAGGGTAGAAATATTCATGGTCTCTGAAGAGGAATGAGTCATTTTTGAGCACCATACTGGAATCAATAAAGTTTATGTAAGCAAAAATCATGTTTGCCAAGAGCTAATGAAATCCAAAGAAGTGAAAGAAATACGATGTCTGAGATTTAGTTTTATCCTTATTTTGCACTTTGTTCTATTCTAAGGAAGTAGATGAGTTAGCTTTTTACTGCCTGATTCTCAAAATTGTTGAGTGAACTTTGAAATTTTAATACAAATTCTGAATACTGAGAGAGAGGGCTTTAAAAAATACGATGGCTGATGCTGTCCCAAAAAAGCTTTGGAGGAGGTGATGTAGGTGAGTTATGCCTACTAGTGAGCAACAGGTACAATTATGTCATTAAATTATCCCAAAGCATAGGAAAAGATGCAAAGTTCCTAATTTTATAACATGAGAACATGAGACTTAGAATAGACACATATATAAAAAACATGTGGAACACATTAAAAAAAAAAAGGTAAGACTTTACTGAGTCACATAAAATAAAACTTAAATACACGGAGTGACCTGCGATGTTCTTCAAAGATAAAATTGCTAATTATCAAGATGTAACTTATTCTTGGATTAGTCTATAAACATAATCAAATTTCAATAAAAATCTTTATCGGTATTTAAACTCAGATATAGTTCATCCAGAATAGTTAGGGTCCAAGAGAATGTTTTGGAAAAGTACAATAATGAAAACCAAAGTTTGCCATAGAAGATATTAAAACACCTTATCAAACTATAATATTTGATTAATTACCCTGGGCGCATACCTGTGATCCCAGCTTGGGATGCTAAGACAGGAGGATCGCAAGTCTGAGGACAGCCTGGGCAACTTAACAAGACTTCGTTGAGGCCAGAGGGCAGCATATTGTGAGAGCTCAGGACACGTCCGTTCTTTCCCTTTCCTACCATCTCTTCTCTGCTTACTGTGAAGCAGGAGACTTGAAGAGACTCAAAAGTCTATTTGGATGGTTCCTGCTGCAGCCCAGGCCTCAGCTGTCCCCCTGGCCACAGCTCCAGTGCATTAGTGCTCTTGCATTCTTTATGACTCCACCGATGTGCGGAAATCGTTTCCTTTTGCTCATCTGTAGGACCCAAAGAGGTCTGTCTTGGTTCTTTGTAATTACAGAGGCTAAGTGCAGACTTCACCTCAGGCTACAGTCTCATTAATTTGCCAACTTTCAAGATTCTCACACAGGCTTTGTGGGGATGCCTTTCGATTCTGAATTAGAGTGCATTTTGATTTTTAATTATTTCCTATTCCTTTTACATACTAGGGGCTCTAGGCAAATCCCGTGCTGGGTGAGCCCACTGTGTGGTCAATCTCTTTTTAATCAGAAATTATCATGGAGGGAAATTAACCCAAGGCCAAGTTATTACCACACCAATCCATAGGTGCTCAGTAAATAATTGTTAGGTGGTAACTGACATACTGATTCCTACAGTACCCAAAGAGATTCATTAAGGGAAAGGAACTGTGATGCTTCTCTTAAAGACCTCCCCAACTGTACAAATGATATATATATTTTTTGTTTTTGTGTTTGTGATGTTGGGGATGGACAACCCAGGGCCTCAAGCTAAACTACATCCCCAGTCTATGTGACTGGTATTTTTGGCTCAGGTATGTTTTGGCTAGTTCTGATTTTCACACACAAGGGTCTGTTCTATGAGAAAGAAAAACTTCCTCCCCAAGTTTAACTGCATGCTCCTTACTTGTTGGACACAATGTACAAGTTCTGACTGGCTGCGCAGACTCAGAGATTCAGTGCGGATTCAGTTATCCTTTGCTTAAATTAAGACACTGTGTGGAGCAGTGGTTAACAGCGGAGTCACATCTTGCTGTATAAATTCAGAGCTTGGCTTTCTTACTGACAAGCTGTCTGTCATCAGGCAATTCACTTAACTTCTCTGGACCTCAGTTTTCTTACAACAATAATAACAATAACAAACTGCATCCATTTCATATAGTTGTGGTAGGATTTAAATGCTAGGTGACTGGTTGGCCATCACTACTAAATACTCTGCAGATTTGCATTATTTATCAATGCTAAGGAGGTCACTTTCCCACCTAGACCCTCTCTCTGTCCAAAACATCTTCTTAGATGGCAAAGCTATAGGGGGTGAGATGGGCCCCCCTCCACCGAGTGCTGGGAGGAGAGTTGTCTTCACTGGCCCACTGAAGTGGGGGGGACAGAAGCCTACGGCACCTGGCTACAACTGCAGGTGGTCCTCTTGCCTCCGGGGCCTGGTGGAGCACCTGCTCCACCCACTCAAGCCCTAGAAGTTTCATTTCTGTCCTCTGCACCCAACCAGGGCATCTGTGAATCTGTCCAGATCATGCAGGTTGGGCTCAGGGGCCTGTGGTTTGAGAGACTCTGAGGATGTGGCTTGGGAACTCTGGGGAAAATCCAAAACACAGAAGTTACCGGCTGTCGAAACAGAATTTTCCCTTCTGCCAATGCTGCCTGTCGTTGACCTCCAACATTCCTTCCAACTGTATTTTGAGGCTCTGTATTATTGAGTGGAGAAGAAGAGGTGAGGGAAGAATCTGATTTGGAGGATTTGGTTTAATGTACTTGTTAATGAGAGTGAATTATCATTAACGGCATTAGTAGCTAATAAAGAGGTCCAGCCTATGTAGTACATCTGCTCTTAATTTCATTGTTGATTTAAATGCCTTAATGACAGTAGCTAAGTAACCAAAATTGTTTTCACAAAGCTACCACCCCTGTAAATTTTGGAAACCAAAGGAATTTATTATCATTTCAGGGCCCAAACTTTGAATCCATTTGCTAACTGCCCCACCTATCAGTTTGCTAAAGAGGAAGCAAAGGACTGCTAAACACCGTCTCCTAGTTTCTTAACCACTGGGGAGCTATGACTGCAGCAGACTGTCCAGGGTCACAGGGAATATTGTTCTTGTAGTCAAATTCCCCATTCTCATCCAGAATTAAAGTGGAAGTGAAATATTTACAAAAACAAAGAAGTAATATTAGGACCATAAAATAGAAACTCCAGGGAAAGATTCTAAGGCTGAGGGGAGAGAGAGATGCTCACAAAAATTCATCAATGAAAACAAAAAGTTCCCACCCACTGACTTTTCTTAAATCGTAATGTTACCTCTGTCTGCCAAAGGAAGGACACAGAAGAGAGAGAGAAAAAAAAGTTCAGTTTACAGTAAAGGACTTTATTTATTTATTTATATTAAAATTGGCTAGCCGATGTCTTTAGGAGTGATTTTGGCCAACCAGAGAAGGTCACTGATTAATAGCCCTAATAATGCAGGAAGCATCACTCTCTGGTAAACCCGAACTAGAGGATGCCCAACACTTAGCCATGTACTTGTTGGGTTTGTATTAGGATTCATATCTTCATAGACTCGAAAATAATTCTCAGGCTAGCTGTTTGCAAAGGAAAGGACTATGCTGTCATCTCAAATATTTAGCTAGAAACTCATTAGAAGCCTAAAGACTACAATTAAGCTGTTCTTCTTTAGTCACTATTCAGAATAGTCTATATAGGAAGGAGAGTGTGTGTGTGTGTGTGTGTGTGTGTGTGTGTGTGTGTGTGTGTATCTTCCAGTCTTGCTGCAAAAAGGATTTAAGGTGAACTATTTGGATACATAAAAGTCAAAACAACATTAGTGAGAGGTGGATGGAGAAAGAAAATGAATAACAAAGGAAATGATTCACAATGGCCAGAGAAATAAACTAATTTAAAACCACACACAGAAAACTCTGTAGACTTGCTATATAGGTTGTCTCCAAATAAATCTCTAACCAAAACTAATTCATTTCTTTATCCAATGCTTAGAGGATTTTAAAATACCTATTTGTTTAGGAGAAGCTCTGCTTTTCTAGAAACCAAAATCAATTGAAATTTTACAAGGGCATCTACGGAGCATATACTCTGTAACATGGCAAATGAAGTCCTCAAAATATTCTCATGGTGACAAAACGATTCTCTAAAAGAAACTAGAATTAAGAGGCTAATGCTAGGTGAAAGACAATTCTTGATTAGTGTTTCAAAGTAGCAGGCAATGGGGATGCTGCAGGCTGGTTCCTTAGCCTATACATCACCATATATGGATTCATATCTTTTCTAGAATAGTGATCAAACTCAATAAGCTAGACAAAGTCCTTACAATCTGACAAGCTCACACAAGTCTGCATCTAGTGGAAATTTCACACCAACATATTCAACCCCCTATATGTAGCTGCTGCTGGACCCTTCTAGGCAAGTGTCTTCCAATCCATAACTCAGAGAGTGAAGTATGGAGAGTCTCTTCACTGGGACTGATGAGACCTAACTAATGCACCAGGGCAAAAATCTCAAGAGTGAATCCTTAATCAGCTCAGCACATTTTGTGTAATGTGACAGATGAACTTGTCATCTCCCACTTGACCTATAATAGACCTTAATTAGAATAATTGTGGTTAATCAATTGAGCTCCAAATGACATCGTTGCTTTGCTCCGCTCTCTACCCTCTAGTCCAGCCTATGCACTATTTTAAGGTGGATCCAAATTTCCTTTCTTGACTCAAGTTCTACTACACATTCCATAGAAACCTATGTTCCATTCATACTGGGGTATTGTACTTTTTCTCCCTAAATATCGATTGTATGTACTTTTCTAACTTTATGCACTCGCTCATGTTAGTTTTGTTCTGTCTCAAAGTTC